TGTATTGTATTTAGGAACATGTACTAATACTGCTTTACAAAATACCTAAATGTTCCCTATCTTGAGATAAAAAGGCACAATCTTTCAAAGAAAAATCTAATGCTTCTAATGATTTCTGTAGTGTTTCTGATTTTGTTTATGTTGTTGGACTCAAGTTATTTTTAATTAAATTTATATGTTTAAAAAAATATCAAAAGTTTAAAAAAACAAGAGGTGGCTTGACAATTTTATTTTATCAAGTGATCAATGAAAGTAAGGAAAGTAAAAGTGGTTTGACCTTGTGGGTAGTGTCTAGAAACACTAATATGGAATCAAGGGAAAGATAGGGAAGAGAATTGTTAGACATTGCAAATAATGGTAAATGTCTTTTTATGTGATTCCTTAACTTGTGTGAGATTTTCTTAAACTATGAATATTATGTATCAGAGGGAAAGATTGGGAAGCATTCCTAACTTTTCTGTTCCGAAATGCAGTGTACAAGAAACATTATCCACCTGCTTTAAGTGATGAAGTCTGGAGATTGGAAAAGATAGGGAAGGATGGGTCTTTCCACAAGAGGCTGAATAAATCTGGAATACATAATGTGGAAGAATTCCTACGATTTGTTGTGAGGGACCCACAAAGACTTCGAAATGTAAATGTCTTAGTTTTCCCCTCAACTTACAAGTTTATTTAAAAAGAATACATTTCACAAATGGTCCTCTATGATTCCACATTTAGTCCACTATGCCAAATTCCATTGGAGGTCCACTTTAATGTGAGCATTGCCAATTTTAGACCTCTTTCCATAATTCCATACAAGGGCCTCAAATTGATACACTAACGAAGGACTAAAATTAGCAATGTTCCAAGTTTTTTAAGGACCTTAGTTGGCATTTAACGGCATAGAGGATTAAAACTGGAAAGCGTTCACAATAATTGTGGACTCTCAATGGAATTTCACAAAGTAGTGGACTAAATGTAGAATATCTTTAATTATAGATGACCATTTGTAGGATTCACTAAAAAAATCTACTCTTTTTTATTTGTTTTAGATCTTGGGAAGTGGAATGTCAAATAAGATGTGGGAAGCTCTTGTGGAACATGCAAAGACATGTGTACTAAGTGGAAAACTCTATGTCTACTATCCTGATGATCTGAGGAATGTTGGGGTTGCGTTTAACAACGTATATGAATTGTGCGGTCTGATTGCTGGTGGAGAGTATCATTCTGTTGATTCTCTTTCAGATCATCAAAAGGTTGGTTATTTTGTAGCATCATTTTACCTTTTGAGAGAATTTCAAGCATGTTTACCCGTAATCGCTCCCTACATTTGAACAAAGGTCTTGTTTTGCCAAGGTTCAACATTTTTAGTTTTCGTATGGCACGACTCAGTTACTAAAAGGGGGTGAGCATTAATGCATTACCATGTATCTAGGAGGCATAAATGTATGGTTAAAATATTTAAATTTAGATATTTTATGAGTCTACGTGTTAAAAGGGGTATTTAGATATAAAAATATTTAAATAGTCCTCTATATTTGAGAACTATTATATAATAAGTCCTTTGGAGGAAAAGTTCCCAAACATAGAGGACAACCAAGAGAAATGTTTTTTTCCACATGGAGTGCACAAAGGATTTGTTATGGAGTAGTTCTCAAAAATATAGAGGACCACGAAGAGAATAATTTCGAATAGAGGACTATAATTGGAAACTCCCATGTTATAAAGGACCGTTTGGAAACTTCACTCAATGGTAGAAATGAATTGGCAAAAAAAGAATAAAAACCAAATGAGCCATAGAAGTAGATCATCTTTAGGTACATGAAAGGAAAGTTAGAGCAAATGTGCATGTGAAATTGCAGGTTTATGTGGATACTTTAGTGAGGAAGGCATATGAGAACTGGATGCATGTGGTTGAATATGATGGTAGAGCTCTCATGAGTCTCAACGAAAACAAGAGCACCGATTCTTCTCGGAATTGCCAAGCAATTGGCTCTCACGACCATTCGAACTCTTTCAACCACCAGATAAATAATATATCAAGTCTCTCAAACTCGAGTTCTTCGGAGCAGTCTTCTATTGGTAAGTACACCACTGTATTTTGCCTTCAAATTGTACTCCTTGTTACTTTGGGTCTCATTTGTCCTTAGATAGGAACATCTGGAGATCTAGAATTAGGGTAGCTGTGTAGACCTATGGGCCCTAGTGTGTTGCTTTGGGTCTAGTTGCTAGTGTCGGTTTCTGTGTGCTTCTCCTACTATTGTGCTTTCATTTTTGTACTCGTGTTTGAGTCCGGGGCCTCTTGGGAACATCCCTCTCAAGACCCTATCTTTGTGGGATTGTTCTATGGATCATTGCTGAAAGGTATGCCAAATGCATTTGTGAAGCTCTTTGAGTGACAGAGGGAGTATACAATTCTATGAAATAAATTTTCGAAACAATATCACTATAAAATATTGGCTACATATCTTTATGACTCTCGTTCTATGCATCACACACATGCAACAAGGCAAGACGTAGATAATTCCAAATCTATTTTTGCAAAAGTTTATTGGACAAAAAGAAAAAAAATCATACATGTTAAAAAAAATACATATTCAAAAGTCACTATAAAAAGTAATGTTTTGACTTTTCATTTTGTAAATAATATTAAAGAAAATAAGTTAAGAAAGAAAATGAAATTTGACCAATGGCAGGAAGTTGGTACCTTTGTCGGGTAAATGGACTCTACATGGTAAAATGAGACATTACATGATGAAAAATGCTACTTTTGCACCAAGTTTGACACCACCGGAGACAATTGCGCACATACAGCCATTATCTATAAAACACCGACAATGAAGCCATGACTGACCCATTTACATCATCTTTTCCAGGATATGATCCCAATAATAGTAGCGGATACGCCATGCATTCCTCGAACGTGGATGTCAATACCGATGTACATTTGAATGACGTTTCTTTCCAGCACCAATTGGTGGTCGGAGGAATATCAGAACCATCACCTCCACCGCCACCACAACAACTAGCCCTTACTTGTGGGAATAATTACAGCCTGCCATTGCTTTCTCCTCCTGGAGCGCCAATCCTGACTCCTTATCAGGGGCCCACCGATGACGACTGCTTCTTCACTGAGGAAATCCGGTTAAGAAGCCACCAGATGCTTGAGAATGACGACATGCAGCATCTCCTTCACATTTTCAATACTGAAGAGAGTTATCTGCCTTATACTGCTGCTGCTGCACAACAACAACATGTTCCCGTTATGCCCCCATCTTTTGGGTTCAGCGAGGAGCCTTCCCAGTCCTCGGGGAAAGCTGTTGTGGGTTGGCTCAAGCTTAAAGCCGCACTGAGGTGGGGCATTTTCGTCCGAAAGAAAGCTGCTGAAAGGAGGAGAGCACAGATTGTTGAGTTGGATTAGAAGTCCCCTAGTTTTTCTGCAAGAAGTATATTCTACGAATGCCACGTCTGATGGGCTTGATCACGTATGGGCTTTATCCGGGCCCGTGTATACCGCGATATGGTGGGTCTCGGCTTAAGCACATGGAGTTCGAGCGATACAAAAGCCCAATGGAGTTGATCTGCTGAATGTTGGTTGACATTTCAAGCTATGGCTTCCCATCTGATTGCAGCATTACTGTTGGATTTTGTTTGCAGTTAACTACTATTGTACTATGTGATACTCTCTGGGTATATTTTCTTACCTGAGTAATAAATTTGTTCTACACTGACATACTGCAATAATCAACATTGATTGGTCTTACCTCTCACATTTCTGACTTTTTTTCCCCCCTAACTAAATACTCCCTAATGAACTTGACACTTTGAATTCATGATTTTTTTTTTCAAAAAAATTGAGAAGTGAAAGGTGTTGAGTGAAAAGTTAAATGTAGTTGAAATTTCTTTGGTAGAATGAGAAATAAAATTGTTCACACACACACACACATATATATTTATATATATATTTCTTAAATGGGAATGTGGAGAAGTTTAAACTTAATTTTTAGACATCTAAATAGAAAGTACTATTCTGAAAATTCAAACTTTTTTGTTAATTAAGCACAAGGTTCTGTTGACACTGGAGTACGGTGATACTGGATTTTTGTAACATTTTCGGTGCTCTGATCGCAAAATTGATGGTTCCAAATCTCCATTATAGTCTCATCCTTGCCCTCTCCCCTCCTCCAAATATATGACTAACATAATAGCCACATATTTGAAGAAGAGGGGGGGGGGGGGGGGGGGGGGGGGTTGGGGATGAAGTGAAAGGTTAAACAATGAATTTTACAAATGGACTAGCGGAAGTGCTCCAAAAACCTCATGGCACTGGAGTGCCACCGTACTCCAATGTCCACGGAATCAATTTATGGAGACAAGTATGACTGCACTAAATTTACACCGTTTGCACTCTAATTAAACCTTTTTTTGTGATTCCAATGCATAAAAAGATAACCATGTTTTTATATTGTTAACTTCACTTCTATATAAGCTTTCACAATATTATATTATTTTATTTTTTTAAATAAAAAATATGAATTAATTGTTGTGCGTTGGCAAGCATGAAACAAGTACTGGAACTAGTTAACGGCTAGAATAATGCTCTCTCTATTTCAATTTATATTGCCCATTTTATTTTACAATACTCAACTTAAATTATTTTTAAAATCATTTCATATAAAAATTGATGTGGAATTTAACAATAAAATTTATATGCTTAAAAACTACATTTAAAATTTCATAAAACAAAATGTGATGACTATTATTTTCTCATATGAGTATAAATGAAAATGATCCAAATTTGAAAGTATAAATAGTAAACATACATCTTAAATTAAGACAGAGAAAACACTCTCAATGTTTTCAGTGGTAGAGAATAATGGCATCACAAGATTGTACAATGTCAATAAAGATATGCTATAGTCACAAATAAAAAGGTCACCATAGTTTGTAAATTTTGCAACCTTTTTATTTCTGACTCCAAATTTCTCATTTATATACCCTAAAAGTTCACATCATTTCATCATGACCAACTTTTATTCTGTGACATCTAGGCAGGGCTACCAAAAGAAAGTGATACCAATTTCCATTACCAAAAGAATGTGATACCAAAAAAAAAATCCCATCTGTTACAAAAAATAGCATGGCCCATATATGGTCACAAAAGAGAAGAAAAAAAAAAGATGTGTTGCAAAGCATTTCTTTAATGGCAACTCATCAAGCAAAATGTAGATTCAAAACCTGAGACAAATATCTTACAGTCATCATACAGGAGGAGAGGAACAAAGATTCACCAAACAGAGAAGCAAAAGAAAAATACAAAAACATTTTTTAAAAAAAAAAAGAGGAAAAAACAAGAGAAATTTCAACAATCTTTTATTTGATGGAAACCAATAAGCCCTCCATCACCTCAAGAATTTCGGAGCACAAGCCGCCGGATCATCAATCCCTAAGAAGAGTCTGGGAAACAAAGCAGATTTGTATGTGATAGCCCTTTATATTTATGGTTTAGTTTAGTTTGGCTTGCAAAGGCTATCACATGAAATCATAGTCATCATAACCATCATATGCATTCACCACAGCATCATCATCTTCCTTGTCAATAAGCAGCTGCTTCTTCTTTCCACCTGTTATGCACAAGAATAAAATAAAAATCAAACAAACTCATTTCTAGACTTCATTGAGAGCCTGTTTGGTGAAAACCTAAGATGAATGAGGTGGCTGAATCTGTAGAAATCATGGTGGGATATGATGAATAATGTGAAATATTTAATCAATATTTTTTTAAAAATAAGATGGGAAAATTTGCACCGAGTTCAGCTAAGTACTGAAAAAAGTGTTTGATACGCAAAAAAAGCATGCTGGCTAAACACACTAAAACTGAATTCGAGGGGGAAAAAAAGAGAGTTTGGTATGGGGAAATGTAAAGACCTGTCTTCTTTTTGCCAGCATTGGCCTCTTTTTCAGCTTTGATTTTTTCATTTGCAACTGCAGTAACTGAAGAGGCCACTTCTTTTGCATCTTGCCCTTTCAATGAGGTCATTGCAAGTCTCATTACATCCTTGAGTAACCCAAGGTAGAAGTAGCTTTTCTGTAAAACAGATTAAGGTGTTTCCATAAATCATGAAGCAGCATAAAAAACGGCATAAAGGTGGTAAAACCATAATAGCATTTGAAAAAAAACATAATAGCCTTATGAGAAAACAGATTTGACAAACCTCGTAAGGACGCAACTTATGAGAAATGAGCTCTGCATATTCTACAAAGTCACTTTCACTTTTGGGGATGAAATTTTCAATGGTCTTCTCATCACCTTTCTTAGCAAACAATTCTGTTGTCGACTTATAATCTGCTTCTTCCACTAGCCTGTGTGAAATAAGGTGACATTATATACAAATATACAAAAAGTTTTATGCATACAATTTGTTATGTTATCACTTTAAGGACCTACAATTCGAGGCTATAGATATATAAGAAAACAAAGTTTTCCCTCCAAATGCAAAAATTTGGATATTATAACTATTTAACATTTTTTGTCATGAAAAAATAAAATTACTTATTGGACATTTGTAAAAATTACTCTGTATATGTAAGTCATAATCTTTTGGTTATAATGTGTAACATAATATTTGAAATTACTGTAAAATTTATAGGTTTATTTAATTTAAAATTTATATACTATGTACGTCATTCTTAGTGATTACTAATTTTTGAGTCCGTTTTGTTTTTATACACTTGTTTTCAGTTCAATGCCTTTTAGTTCAGATCATCATATGACCTAGTTTCTATATTTTTTCATTTAATATTAAATACGGAGTATATGCTAAAACATTGCCAACAGTTGCACAACAATAAAATATGTTAAAATTATCTCTTTCTCCACAATTTCATTGTTAAGGGAGCTAAGAGTCAATCGACAGTGTTTTAGTTTTCGGCACATAATGATCGAAATAAAAAAACACATTATATTTCCCTTGCCCCTTGCTCCCTATGAAGTTATAGGCAGTAAATGCAGCAACACATCTAGGGTCGGACAGAAGCAACTTTTCTGTTTTGGGGCAAGACTGCATACATCTTGACCCCAGATCCTAACGGAGTTGGGATCATAGTGGGTTGAGGTATATTTTTCAGTAAGGTTATTTAAAGACCATTGAAAATAATTTCAAACATTTCCTTGGGTTATTTAAAGACCTACGAATAAGGTCGTAAATTTTAAAATATTGGTTTCAAGTGGAGAATTTGTGTCATGAATATATTTTTTAATTTGAATTGAATCTTTATAAAACTTTTCTTAATTTTTAAAATTACAGGTTCTTTTGTTTGGTCTTAATAACTTTTTTAAATGAGATTTTAAAAATTTTATAGGTTGAGTCCTATGTTACTAAAATGTTATTGAAAAAATTATATCGTAACAAATATAAAACAATTTATTAAAATTGAAATATTATGAAGATGCATTAATGCATATGCATATCACATTAATTTTATTAAAACCAACAACTCAGATGAATCCCACAAAAGTAGGATCCTAGGGAGGGTGTGTGTACGCAAACCTTATCCCACTCGAAAGTAGAGAGGTTGTTTCCGAAGACACCCGTGGCTCAAGCACCACAAGTAAACATGTACACAACTTTAATTCAAAATAATTACTCCCTCCGTCCGGGAACAAACTTCCCGGTTTGACTTTTCTTCATTTCTATGGGGAGCTAACTTTGTATGCAAATTGTCCAAAATGCCCCCAACCCTTCCTATTCTAGCTTGGCCAGAGAGAGAGAGGGGGGATCGGATAAAGAAGAAGCGGAGAGGAGAAGAAAAGGATCGGGTAAAGAGAAGCAGGAGTGCAGATCTGACAGAAATTTTGACAAGGGAGAGAAGAAGAAGAAGAAGAAAAAAGATGGATCCGAGAAAGAGAAAAAAGTGTAGGGGGAAATTAGGAAGAGTAAATGAAAATTTAATGATAAGGGTATTTTAAGAAGAATAGGGGTTAAAATTAGAAATGGGGAGATTAATTCCGGATGGGAAAAAAGGAGAAATAGGAAGATTATTTCTGGACGGAGGGAGTATTTGATAAGACATTAAATTTAAAAAGTACATTAATTTTGAATTTTAAGTTCAATTCATATCAATTTTGTTTATTTCAACACAATCCAGTTAAGTTCAAGAAAATTTAGTCCAAACAAACGGGCTTTTTATAGCAAAAATAAAATAGGATATAATAGATTTTATAAAGTATTGTACATTACTTGTGTGTTGGACAATGAGTTAATGCTTTCTCAAAGTTGATCAGTTTAATAAAAAATACTTTTTCTGTCCATTAATTTCCTAATGGATGGAGGGAGTATTTGAGCTAATGAGGTGTGTGCTCAACTGCTCATTAATGTGAGAGTTTCTCACCAAGAAATCTTAATCACTATTTTACTCCACTTATCAAGGAGTAACGATGGTAAGATTGATGAACATGATGGTGAAATTAATGATTGTTTTTAAAAAAAGAAATCATGCAGAGAGAGCCAATGACAATCTTTAAAAATAGTTAGATTTTTTTGCATTGTCCAATGTTACTCATGCATAGTTATATTTAATGGTATTTTGAGAAACACGTACAACACATTTCAAATGTATTATACATAGTAATCTGTATGTTACAACATAACTAAACCAAGTAGGTCTGCTTAAGAAATTGTGTACATGGCAATTTTAACTATTTGTAACTTGTGAAAATAAAAATGTATGCTTTTAAAAAGCGCAACAAATGATACCTACATTCAAAATGAAATCAACATGTTATGCATGATTCAGAGAAATCACACGTGCAATGCAGGGTTAAAAATTAGTTGGAAAAAAACATTAAAAATCACTAAATCAGGTAAACATAAATATACCTTTGCTGGCGTAGTTTTTCAGCTACTGGATCTATAGGCTCCTCCTTTTCAATTTTAACTGCTTTCACTTTCTTTTCAGCTGCTTTAGAAACAGGTTTCTTTGAAGTCTTTTCGGTAGGGGCCACAGGTGCCTGATTACATCACATCATCACAAGAGACCAACATTATCTTAAACTGCAAATACTAAATAACCTTTCGAACACTTCTTTGCCCGCAAACATTGTGACCAATAAAGAGTCATACTTTATGCCTTGATCAAATTCTCCATGACTCTATATGGTCCTATTTATAAGGGATTTCTATGAAAAATTGTAAAAAGGTAAAGTTTAACATAAATTTATATGTTTTCCCATTTTACCCCTATAAAAGCAAGGAAATTAGGAAAATATGAAAACATGGCACCAAAATTTTTAATAATAGGAATGTTTTGGAAAGGAAGTTTTCTACACACCTCAAAAGCTTCAAAATTCCATATAAAGAGGACCAAGTAATCCTTCTAGAAACACCCCTATAGATATGATTGGAGGGAGTAAGAGTTTAATTTTCATGTCATTTGCAAAAAAATCTGAGTCACATACAGCTGGACAAGTTGCACATGATAAATTTAGTAAAAGAGAGAAATTTTAAAACTATAGATTGCATTAGTGTTTTATAGATTGAGTTAATGTTTTAGAACTATAGATTGAACCTGGACAAAATTCAAAAGTCAAGTCTAGCTTGAACATGACTCTTTTTATAGGGGAGAGAGCCACTGAGGTAGTACATTTACAATATACTGTAATTGTTTATAATATAATGGTAATCAACACTACCGGAGTAGAATCTTCATCATCAGTTTCCCATGAATTTTTTATGTCATTTTCATCTACATCCTCATCATCCCATTGACTCTTCTTGACTTGCACCTGGTTTAGAACGTCTGGAATAGCCTCTTCATCCTCTGAGAGTGAAAACTCATGTTAGAACATACCAAGATCAAACAAAGTTTGCAGACTAAAAGGGAACTCAATTTTCAAGTTTCAACACAGATTTGCTATATCACATGTAGAGAGAGATGCCTAGTCATAGTTCTAGGTAGCATTTCTAATGGATAATGAAGTACCTAGTTAGAGTAACTTGGTACACATATTCTATGGATCAACCCTGTTTCATGGTAAATACCAAATTGCATCTGCAAAACATTATACATGCATGATAGTATGATACTTCCTCCGTTCCAGATTAGTTTAGGTGCAAAAAGCATCTAATACTTCCACCCGTTCATCAAAATATTTGGAAACACTTGTAGGATAAAAAAATTGAAAACTTGGTGATTGGAAAAGGTGAGAGGAGATGGTTGATTAGGAAATGGTAATTTCTTGTAATTCTTCTGTGTTTTATTCTAGTTTTTACACTAGAAAAAAGGATTTATGAAAATGAAGATAGATAAGCACGTCAAATTACAAAATGAAAGAATTGGAAATGACCTGCAACCCAATGATGGGAATGTGCTAATATATACCCCATAAGGAACTATGTGGATCAGTTGTGATGCGCAATAGAAAACTACTCCGTACATCAGTAAAGGAGGGATAGCCTCGTATTCAAAACCTTCCTCGGACACTGAAAATTGGTGTCCGGATATTTAAATAATGGTTCCTCCCTTTATTATTTTTATATTTATTTCATTACTGGACCTGAAGAAAGCATATTGTACTCCAATATGAATTATCATAATATGCTGCATTAAACTGAAATTGAAAGTTCATTTTATTTAAATTCAAACAAAAGAAGTTCTTTTAGCTACCTCCCAACTCGTTCTACATCATAAGACGTATGGCTTGATCTTCATTAATATTTGGTCTTAAAACCTAATCTTGATTAACATAAAAGGTAAAATTCAATATTTTTTCACAAGAAACTATTAGAGTATAAAACTTTTCTTGGACCTACCGCCAACATTGTGGTTGAGTTGATTCCTTGACATGGTATAAGAGTCTATGCTGACCTTGAGGCCATGAATTCAAATCTCACTACCACTCAAATTAAAGGCTCAAGCAAAAACAAATCTTACATGCACAATTGCACATAATCGGACGTGTTGAGTATAAAATTTATTGGACTTACAACCACAAGTTTGAGGTTGTGGTTGAGTTGATCCCTTGATTAAGACAATTCTAGCAAAAACTAAGGAACCAAATCTACAATCAGTACAAAATATTTATAATAAAAAATTAAATGGTTCTGATGGAAAACATGGGATAGGAGAAAGTAATGTACCCCAACTGTCCATCTTTTTCCTCCTTCTATATAGTTCACCAACAATTTCAGCTCAGTACCTAATTCTTCTTAATACAACCTATCAAACCAATCAGAAGGAACAAAATCCGAATATCATTCATCATAAAGGCGATAACTTTCCACGAGGCATCGTCATATCCAAAACCCCCAAAATCGAGTGAAAATTTTAATTGCTAAAATAAACACAAAACAGTTCGATAAGCTTCCGGAGAAACCAGACTTGAACTTTGATCGGGAACATTTGATGTTGAAGAAGCGAAGACTGGAAACGCAGAAAAAGGAAATACCTTTGATGTGGAAGAAGGGCGAAATGTCGAATGGGAGGGACAGAGACGAATGGGGTGTAAATTGTAAAGTATTTCTTTAATTAATAGAACGTTTAATATGGTGTTTGAGCCCATCTTTAACCGGCCCAATTTTATGGTGTGAGGGGTTTCAAAAGTTTATTACACCAATACCCAATGTGATTTGGTAATGTGCACCTTACCCTTAGAGCATGAACAATGGTGAGCCAAAAATAAAATGTTACACATTGACGTGGAACATTTTAATCAATAAAAAATAATTTAGTCAACGAGTGGCATGCCTTGCAGTGGCAAGTCATTGTTTTCATCACTTTTTTCATATTTTTTCCATATTTGAATTATTAAAAATTATTTTACTTACATATTTTTATCATGAAAATATTTCTATTTACTCAAATAAATAAATTTTTTATATACTCCCTCCGTCCCTTAAAACATGAGATTTTTGCTTTTTAGAAGAGATTTAAGGGGAGTGTATTTTGGTATTTAATTTCCAAAAATGTCCTTTGATGTGATGGGTAAAAGTATGATTTGATGGATAGATTATTAGTAAAAAGGTATGATCTGATAGTTAGGGTATGAAAAAGTAAGGGGTAAAAGTGACTTTTTAATAGAAATGAGAAGTGTTTTGTGGGACGGATAAAAAAAGAAAGGACAAAGGTTTCATGAGACAGAGAGAGTATATTTTAATTATTAAAAATGTTTTTGTTATCTACTCTATATTTTTCTTTATTCCTTCATCTCAAATTAGATTATTATTTTAGAATTAGGATGCCAAACTCTTTGTTTTTAAAAATCATTTTATTTAAAAATTGGTATAAGAATTAAAAATAAAACTTATAAATTTAAAAATTACATCAAAAGTTCTACAAAAAAAGATGTGACAAAATTTTTTTAAACTAAATAATCAATAAAAATAATAAGTAAACAAAAGTTATCAAGGGGTGGAAAAAATTACTCCTATAATCTATTAAGAGACAAAGATAGTAAAAAGTAATTCTACTTCCTTCTAGAAAACATTTTTTTGAGGAATTCTTTCTTAAAAATAAAAGGAAAAAAAGAAGAATGGAGAGTAAAAACGAAAAGAGAGAAGATGTGATAGAATGAAAACACATTTTGATCCCTTTTTAAAAAGATGACGAGAGATTAAGGGTCCGTTTGGTATAAGGAATTGGTGGAATTGGAATTGAATTGAAATTGTAATTTCATGGGATTCAATTCCATAGAATTGAATTCTGTCAATTTCAATTCATTTTCTGCACTATCAATTCCAAATCTACATAATTTTTGTGCTACCAAACACTAGAATTGGAATTGAATTCCCGAATTCCAATTCATATTTTGAATTCCATGTACCAAACGGGGCCTAAGAGTAAAGATAAAATTATGATTTCACTCATTTTCTTCTCACTAAGCTATTTTTCTTGCGACATGAGTTGAGAAAACCTTTCACCTTGGACTCGCTCATTTTTTCTAGCTATCTTGTCCTTATTTTCTTATGTAAACAAATTAAATAAGAAAAAATCTATTCAAAATTATATTTTCTCACCCTACATTTTTTCTTCCCAACTTTTCTCACTTTCCAAACAATAAGTAAGATAAGAGAAAGTTGTTTGAAATAATTTTTCTTAAGAAATACTTTCTCCGTAATAAATTAATTGTCTTATTTTTTCTTTTCAGTTCATTCTAATATACTCCGTATATGTTTTACTTTAATTCCTTTCTTAATAAAGTAAAAAAATATGTGGTCTACAATCATTTTTTTGGAATTTCAACTACTCACTCTCATTTTTTACGTATTTCTTTTTAAATTTCGTGAAATCAAACCGGAACAATTAATTCACTACGAGAGAGTATCAGAGCATCCGCATGGCACGCTGCCACCTCATCGACTTTTATAAAATGTCTTGCAAGGCATGAGAGCATTGACAATGGTGAGTATTGTAATGGAATGCCATGAGATGACGTGTTACCTTCCAACCAATCAAATCAAGCGTGCAAAGAGTGTAGCATTCCATGGTTTGCAATGGCAAGTCAGACGTGGCACGGCAAAATTGGAGATAGCGGATGGCGGAGGGGCAGATCTAGGGTTGCAGATCTGGGGTTGCAGAGCTAACGTTGGCGGAGGACTTTGGAATTGCCTCGCGGATGACTCGCAAGGCAGGGTGCCTCGCAAAGCAGACACGCATGGCACACTCCTCCTCTCTCTTCCCACGCCGCTGCAAGAATCGGCTCTCCTCTCGTGGCAGGGCGAGGCAGTTTTTTTACTCGCCCCTGCCAATGCTCTGAGCAATTTGCCATGCTTGGCATTCCATGAGCGAGTATATATGCTTCTTAAAAATTTTTTTATGCATCTTCTAAAAAATCTTATATTTTATGAAAAAACCAAAAAAACGAAAGTAAAATAATACGTATTTAATAATTAAGATATGTTAAAAATGTAAAAACGGATAAAATCAATGAATTACCATAAGAGGTAAAGAACAATATTTGTCAAATTTACCTTTTTTACACATAAGTTTATCCTCCAATGGAAAAGGTAAATGAGAAGGTATTATACCTTCCTTAATTATGAAGAAGTATATTTACCTCCTCAATTTTAGAGAGGTATACCAATTTTTTCTCTTTCTTTAAAATACTTTTATTTTGGGAAACATATACTTACCTTCTCCATTTACCTTCTTCCATTGGAGTCAAGAATTTTATAAATAGGTACATCTACCTTTTTAAGAAGGTAAATGAGCAAAATACCTTCTCAATTTACCTTTTCCCTTTGAAGTTACTCTTAGAGTACTAGCAGCGGTGAATTTTGTGTTTGCCACGTCCTGCCATGTCATACTTTGACTTGATTACCGTGGAATGGAAGTAGAATTCAACCCTGATTAGCGTGGCTTGTGCGAGGCATGCATATTTGTTCCTTTTCTTTTTATTTTATTTTTTTGAAGAAAGCGAGTAGGTCGACTATTGATAAAAGAACACGGAGTATCAAAATGGCAAAAAAAGACTTCATGTCATGCCACTCAAGACTGCACTATTGTTTTAAAAATAAAATATTTTTTTTCTAAGACATTTAAAGTAATAAAATAGATAACACTTCAAAAAAATTATGCAGATGACAACAACGTTTTTTAAATTTTTTTAATAAGGAAAAAGATGATTTTTTTAATAAAGAAAAAGAATGATGTTTTATTGTAAAGGTTATAGAAGTATTTTTTTATCAAATAAATAGTTAAAATAAATTTTAATAATTAAAATGACTAAAAATATATAATAAGTGACAAAAACAATGACTTGACACTGTAGAACATGTCATTCCACTCACTTGTCACTCGTTGACTGGATTATTTTTTATTGATTTAAATTTTTCACGTCAAAGTGTGGCATTATATTCCATTTTTGACTCACCATTGTCCATGCTCTTACAATACCCTAACTAGATTAATTTTTATCAATTGAAATTTATCACGTCAATGTGTGAATTTCCATTTTTATACGAGTACTTGGTCCATCAAGATTATCTTCATTTTTTTGAAGTAATCTTTGAGTCCTTCGCCCATTCGGCCAGCAAAGAATTGCACGACCACTCACGAAGATGAGATTGTTGGAATCCCAAACGTTAATCTCTCTCTCTCTCTCTCTCCACATGAACAACGACAGTAACTCCTCTTTCTCAGTAAAACTGGGCCCCGCCACCACCAGTAGTATATTATCGGTCACTGTCTGCCGTCCCCTCCAAATCGATAGACCAAAAAGGGCAGAAAACACAGTTTTTGTTTTCATCTCCATGGTGGCCGTCCGGCAGTCACTTTTTTCTTCCGGCGCCCAGATTTTCCTCTGTTTCTTCAACTGAAACCAAATCGAATCCCTACCCACTCTCCTAAACCCCTCCGGTTTTGGATTCGTCTCATAAATCCAGCTTCTTGGACTTACCCGTTGCTCGGACAGGCTTTCTTGATTCGACGGCGGAGCTTTTCGCCGGCCGGAATGGGAACGGAGTGCGAGATGAGGGCTCTTAGCTCGCTGGAGCTTATGCTGCTGGATCTTCGGAGAGCGGAGCAGGAGCCACAGGAGGATTCGAAGCCGCCGCCATTACCGGCTCGGCCGGTCGTGAAGCTCCGGCCGCCGCGGCCGAGGAAGAAACAACCGTTCATGTCCGGCAAGAGCCAGTTTCGCCAAGTGAAAGAGGGAAAAGATGCTTTTCTTGATTCTATTCCTCAATTGGAATCCTCAGACATGGGTGATAGACTCATTGATTTTAATGAGGTAAGTTGTCTCCCCAATTTAAGGTTTTATTCAATTTAGAAGGGGCATAATTTCAAATTGACAAATTTCAAAATCACTATAAAAACATTAATTTAAAAATAACAACTCCCTCCGTCCCACTCTCTTTGTTCACTTATCTTTTGACACACCATCCAATGCACCTCTTTAATCCATTTTATCTTGTAATTTGTATATTAAAAAATTATAGAAATTATATATTAATAATCTATATGTTAAGACAAATCAAACAAGATCACACATGACTATATTTAGGCTTACACATTGAGAGAATTTGATGAGTCAAAGTGCTTAGATGAACAGTTCTAAAAGTCAAAAGTGGACAAAGAGAATGGGACGGAGGTAGTAAAACATTAATTTTAGAGTTATTAACTATTTTTAGCAAAAAACACTAAAGTAAGAATATAAGTAAACATTAAAAATATACTAAAATAAAAGTTTTATGTTTTTATACTTGAAATAAGAGTTAAAATGCATATGTCAATCACGAACATATACCTTACCCAAAAAATATTGTGAAATGCTTATATATAGTATTACATTGCCACAATTGTAAACTCTTATTTTAGAAATAAAAATATAAAATTCCTATTTTAATACTTTTTTTTATGTTTTACTGTTATTTAAAATGATTTCTTTTATTTTATACCTATTTTTTTCCAAAAAATAATCTTTTCTAAAATCATTTTATTTCAAAATTTGATCCATAACTTTTTTTTAGTGATGAAAGGATAGTTAAATAGTTATAAGAATTCGGGCACGCAATGGGTGGACAATTCGACATATTGAAATTGTATATTTTATAATCTTTGTGTTTGTGACTATAGTGACATAATTAGTTGAATGGAATAAAACCATATGATAACATGAGCTCGGTTTGATATCAAATTTTACATTAAAAATTGGATAGAAACACAACCAAATGTGTACAATTAGAGAGAAATATTAGTATGTATTATGAACGGGTAAAACATGGTTAACTATTTTTCTCCATCCTAATTTTAGTTGCATGTTAATTATTTACAAGATAAACGTGAATCACGCTCTGTTATCTATTTTCGCTACTCATTTGAGAAAATAATATAAATTTTGTTAAATTAAAAATAACTTCACTGAAATCTCATAAACAACAATAAATAGTTTAAATTGGGACGAATGAAGTATTACCTATATGGGCAAAAACAATATATACTACGTATGTCATTGCAATACAAAAGTTTGTATAAAGGAAAATGCTAGGGTGCCACTACATGGCTGCTACCATGGGTGCACCCATGGTAGCAACCATGTGGTGGCACCCTAGCATGGTCCTTGTATAAATACCTAATATTGCATAAATATACTACTCCCTCCGTCTCAAATTATTTGCAACGTTTGTTTTTTCAGCAGTCGCGAGAACTTTTGTTTATTTCCAATTTTTATTAGTTATTTGATAAAATAAAATATTTTTGACACCTCTTATTTCGAAGAACTTTTCATGTAGTTTTTTTATATGTAAATTTTATTTTTTATTTCTATACCAATATGTAAATAAAATGAATTAAAAAAACTTGATATTTTACCTCGAGAATACAAATGTGACAAATATTTAGGGACGGAGGGAGTAGAATACTTTTTGTGCAATCACTCAATATTGGAGCCTCTAAATGCCTATTCAAGCTCCAAATGGAAAAACTTCGAGCCTTTTCGGCTCCAAGAGAAAAAAGAGGAAGAGAAGAGACGATTCTTATTTCTATATCTTATTGATGATGATAGTAGGAAACCCTAATGAAACTTTTACCGGACAAGAGGATAACTCTAAATTCTAATTAATCACAATAAAAAAACCAACTAATAAATAAATAATTAAAGAATCCAATATATCTCACGTATCAATGTCCCATCACTATTTGCTTTTTTTTCATATCATTTTCTCCACTCAAAAGTTTCGGCTTTGAGAACATCGTTTTCAATCCACGTTAGCGATTTGGATAGAATTTTAATGATGTAGATTGATTTTAAAAAATGCTAATGCTAAACTCTAGCACTGACATGCTTAGTAATTTAGTATATATAGATCTTTTTGGGAGATGCCTAGAAGCAAATAGGCACAAATATATAATACTCCCTCCGTCCCAATTTATAATGCCTGTTTCGATTCACGATGTTTGACTGAAATTATTTTCAAATCATTTTATATGACAAATGGTATAGAATTAAACAATAAAAATTATATTTTAAAAAACTATATCGAAAAATCTACAAAACTAGTAGTGACAACAGTACTTTATTTTATCAAATTGCTAACGAAAATAAAGAAAGAAAGTGAATAAAGTTTGACCCTGTTAATAGTGAACATACATTATAATTTGGGACGGAGGGAAGACCATATTAATGTGTAGTTAAGACTTAAGATGACATCTAGTAGGGGTAAAACAGTCATAAAAGCATATATCTCTCGAATCTTTCTTTTTTGTCTTCCAATGTGATATATATATATATATATATATATATATATATATATATATATATATATATATATATATATATATATATATATATATATATCAAAATGGATCTCTAAACTGTCTGCGCTTCTTTGAGCCAGGGGTCTCTTTGGAAACAGCCTCTCTACTTTCGAGTAGGGGCAAGGTCTGCGTACACACATCCTCCCCAGACCCTACTCTTGTGGGATTTAACTGGGTTGTTGTTGTTGTTGTGTGTGTGTGTGTGTGTCTAGACATACACACACACATACATTCTTAATAACATTTCATGCTTGAAGTTTGTTTAGTCCTGCAAAATGATTTCTCAGGTCTAATGCAGTTAATTTTGTTTATGATTTTTTTTAATGTGAAGATTGATACTCTTGGTCTCACAGGATGTAGAAGAAAAGGAGAGAAAAAATTTACTGAAAGGGGTGATGGTAATTCAGAGAAGTTACAGAGGCCACCAAGCCTACAATTACTACCATGAGCTCAAGAGAGGAGCAATTACACTTCAATCATGTAAATTCATTTTCTACCTGTTTTTTTCTTCTATTTTCCCAGTGTATGCCGACTTTACCCTACTTTATCAACTGTGTCTAATATTAGCCTAAATAATCTATACACATTCTACAGGTATTCGAGGCTGGTTTGCTCGAAGGGCATTCACTAAACGAGTAGCAAATCAAGATGCAAACAAGACAGAAGTCGTTAAGGCACACATTAACCCTTTATAGCATAAACTTTTATCACACGGCCTAACGTTTACGATAAAAAATACAATATATTATCCTCTATATACCTTGGGAGTCATCTTTTGAAGCACTTTCATCTGATTTTGGCGGATTGCGTCATTTTTTCAGATTCCACAGAGAGTTTTACTTGATCTTGGAAGAAAAGTTTTGATGGCTGAGGCAGCTTTGGAGAGGAAGAAAGATGAAAATGCCTCTCTGAAGAAACTTGTTGCAAATCATGAGATAAAATGGAAGGAGTACGAAGCGAAGATGCAATGCACGGAGAAGATGTGGCAAAATCACCTGACTTCCATACAAGTAACCATCTTCATTACTACCTGTTTCTTTCCAACAGTTATACTTTATTTTGTTCATTGCTCCCAATTCATCTTTGGGTCTTGAGGATATAATCTCACATCAAATACAGAGGCTAAAAAAGACTAATATATAAGAATATGAGTTACTCTATTTGTCAATTGGTTTTGGTTCAAAATCTCACAATCCAATATGGTATCAAAGGCATAGGAGCTAACGATTCTATGTGATTCTCATAATATCTTAATAGGGTTAAAAGTGTCATTTCCTATCTTTTTAGCTAAAGGAGCAACTTCACCACTGTCATTTTCCTATGAATGCAGACAAGACTAGCTGAAGCCAAGAGAAGACATGCTGCTGCTGCTGCAGAACATGGATCTTCAAGATTATCTAAAACCACTTCAGAAAGGATCAAACTTAAACCTTGTGCGGATACTCATCATTCTCAGATCAAATCAGAGCAAGAGGTTTCACATATCAGCCCCAAAGATGAATTAGCAAAGCTGAAACTTAAATTTAAAGCATGGACGAAAGATTTTAAAAATAGATTGCACGAGGCGAAAACGACAATGAAGAAGCTCGGACAGCCTGCTAAGGGTAAGAGTTCAAAGATATGGTGTGGAAGATGAAATTTCATTGTTGAATTGGTCCAAAGGCCAAATCTCCACAAGTATGTTTTTATTAGATCGATGAGAAAAAATGGGATTGTATTAGTCATACCACGGATGACACCACTAGTGTTTCACAGATGATGATTTTTCACCGACAATATCTATCTAGACGTTATCTTGGTGTCATCCGTGTTTAAAGTAGCATTTTCCAGAAGAAAAAAAATGTACATGGTAGACCTATGCAGGAAGTACTTCCTATAATTCTGTCACTCAAATCGTGAGAACCTTAACTTATTTTGTATGTTTTCAGGTGAATTACTCCATACTATTAAACTCCTATCTCAATGATATAATGAAATATATATATATATATATATATATATATATATATATATATATATATATATATATAAGGATTAAGGACAGCCAGTCCCTAAAACAGTCCCACTGAGCGATTAGGGTCCTCTCATAAGGCGTGTTCGGGCATTTATGAAAAATACTTATATCTGATACACAATACACAGAATACAGATAGAGTGCACTTTATCTTGCATTATGAAAAATTTATGATACACAATGCAACTGATACACTAATGTAATGCATAATACAAACTAAAAGGAGATTTGAAAAGGCACCTGACATCAAACAACAAAATGTTAACATACCCAACATGTGACAACCTTTGAAGTCACTCAAATGCCCCTTGTTTTTTCGATTGTTGTACGGCATTCCAGCATTTTCTTTGGTTGTCTGGAATGTTAAGGGTACCTGAGCAAATTGGCCAGTATAACAACAAACATATCTCTGATGAAGAGTCACAGTATGTAAATGTGGTAATTGGGAACAAGCTATTCACGCTTTTTCAGTTTCAGTCTTGCTTCCACGTCACCACTGTAGGGGGCAACATGGAATGCGTATTGCTGCATTACGCCAAAGAAAACCATCTCAACACAAATTAAGACATTTTGAATGGCTTCCTGAATATGCTCTACGTCCAACCAGAAATGCTGGGATTTAATTATGCCCGTTGCAACAAGAATGTCAAGCAAGATGCCCTGAAAATTGCAAATGACGATTTTACATATTACTCCGTAAGAGTTAAGACGTAGGGTTCCATTTTAAAAGACCAAACCCTGAAACCCCATTACAAGTATTCCAAAAATGTATACTCCCTCCGTCCCAAAATGGATACTGTTGTTACTATTAAGGACCTTGATAACTTTTGTTTGTGTGTTTTTATTGATAATTTGATAAAATAAAATACTCTTGTCACCTCTTGTTTTATAGAATTTTTTATTTACTTTGGACGGTGTAATTTATACGGAGTACTTTTTATTTCTATACCAATTTCTATTTAAAATAATTTAAAAAGTGATGAGATTTTACACGTAATTTGGAGTGTGGCATCCATTATGGGACGGAGGGAGTATATTGGTTTATATGTTTGTACTCCCTCTGTCCCGAAAAGAACTTCATGCTTCTCTTATTTGGTTGTCCCAAAATAAACTTCGCGCTTCTCTCATTTCCTTTTAAGGAAAGGAATCCAACCATACGTCTTTCATATTTTTTTTGAATATTTTTCTTAATCTTTGTGAAGTTAAAATTTGAAGTTTTTATGGGGCGGATGGAGTATTTATATATGTCTTCAATGTGAGATTTATCCCCTAGTCTACCTACCTGCCAAAATGAGAAGAATACTATCCCCTTGATGCAGAGAAACTTGGAAAGCGGTTTGTGTGGTTGAAGCTCCTTTGAGAAGACGTGATAGAAAGCAAGCAATGAATACATCGCAACATAAAATGAAAAGTTGAGTATGATCGTGAATGCCCAGCTCAGCCAACTTGGATAGAACCCTAGAATCTGTAACGTTATCATTGAGATGGAGCTGATGGGGCGGATGATAACAAATTGCCATGTCCAGTACTTAAGAAGCTTCAATGTATTATGGTCCAAACGAGTGGTTCGAGGCTGCACTTTTAAAAAACAAACTAGTAATCAAGAACACAAACCAATTCAATCATTTCCCCCTTCGGTTTCACAAAAGGGCATAAAAACTACACCTGAAATAAAGTCATTGGAAATGAATGGTGAATCTCCCTCCCTTTGATCTCATCCGGGACTATGTTCTTGCTGATGGATATGTTCAAGTAGCTATACAGCAACGCCAAAAACTTAGCAATCGCCTGGAAATTACGATATCTATTAGTTCCGGATCAACTAAAAACGGACCATGCAAGACGATAGGACACGAACCTACTTACCAGAGCCTCATAGCATTCCTTAATTGAGTCAAGAAACATGAAAAACTCTTTGCTTCCCTTAATATCCAACAACCCCACAAACGAATTAACAGCATAAATGGAAGCCATAAGTACGATTACAATAATTGCCTTCTGTTCCTTAGGGTTCTTCCAGTAAAAGAGGTGTTGGGACAAGAGTTGTATAGTCAAATGCATTGTGAGCAGAGTACACATCCCAGATCCAACCACAGTCAGTTCCATCCTATTCATTTTAGTGAAATCCATTCTCCCAAACACAGATCAAAACCTGCAGATTATAAATAGAGTAAAAGAAGAAGCTTAAAAGTGAAAACTGAATCCCCTTGGTTAAAAGCAAAACAGATAATAAAAAATGGCCAGGTCTGGACTTCCATCAAAACAGTTGGTCTGCAAGCATATATATAGAGAGGCACGAAGACCGGACTTAAAGAATTCGTTAAAATCCTGATTCATGGTGAAGCTCTCAGTCTTTTACTGGTTGAATTTTCCAGCATAGTCATAAAATAGAATCACAAGTAAATTTAAGAAGAGTAAAAAATAAATTAACTTAGAAGTCACCTCAGCTGCACTTCTATGATTTCTATGATACCAGACAAAGTATGGAACCAGATACAGTAAGTCGCATATGGTAGCAGCTTGTCTCAGGCTCTGACTTAGAGGATGAAAGGAGAATTTTCTCATCCATCACTCCCCTCGTCACTTTTGATTGAATCCTCTTAAAATTCACTGAGTTTGTTTGGTTCCAAGCAATATCATGGGATGAACTCATTTGTAAAATTAATGATTTTTACCCTTCATAATCTCCAGTAAATCCCTCCACTCCGCCTAGCCCGAACCCACTGCCCCACCGCTTCAACTGTATCTCCCAAGCTAAGCAATGTCAAGAAAATCGGGATATTTTATAAAATAATATAATCTTATCACCTTTTATTTTATAAAACTTTTCATAAAATTTTTTTACTATATGAATTTTATTTTTAAATTTTATATCTACAATCAAATAAAATGAACTGAAAACTTAAGAAAGTGACATGTGTCATGAACTTAAGAAAGTGACATGAGCTTCAATTAAATAAAAACTGTAATATATTTTAACATAAAAATGACTTTATTGGATTTGTCGTATTGAGAACTTTCAAAATTGTACTCCGTATTTCATTATACTTATATGCATTATAAATTGAGAGTAATTAGAGTTCAAAGTTTGTCTAATTTGACTCGAAAAAGTCAAAATAGACAAATACACTGGGCGGAGGTAGTATTTCTATGTGCTGCCGCCACTACCACACTGTCGTCGTCACTACACTTCTATTGCATCCGCCACCGGCCCACTGCGACACTGCCACTATCACCTCCACAACGACCACCACACCGCCATCGTCATCGCCAGATTGCACGAACCTGCACCGCCACACTGCAAAAATCCTCCACATCACCACCATCTCCACTGCCACACTGTCACCTCCATCGCCACACTACCACCAAACCGTTGCCACATTGTTTCCAATGCTGCTGCCACACAACGACTACCAATGTCACACAAACACCCTTTGCCGCCACACTGCTATCATCACCACTACCATCAACGCCTCCACACTACCTCCCTCTGCTACCACACTATAAAATTCACTGCCACACTACCACCCTCTGCCGCCACACTGTCACTCTCCACCGCTCAGGGCCACACTGCCTCCTGATTGTAGCAGAAGAGATAGAGGTGGATCTGATAGCGAGTGGGAGGCCGGTAGAGAATTCTGAATTTCAACATATTTGATAGTAATCACTTTCACTTCATCTGCCACTACAATCGGGCATCGACGATGGTGATCGTACTCCGTTGGCATGAATTGATGCTGTATCACTTCAAAATCATCGAAAAACTGGTACCTGTCATTGCCAATTCACTTCATTCATGGTTGGATTTTCGGCTGATCAAACATGAGGACATTGAAAAAAGTTTGAGAACAATTGGATCTAAGGCAGAAAAATAGGGTGTGGTGGCGGTGGTTTTTTTTGCGGCACTAAAAGAAGGGTAAATTAGGAATAATATCATGCCTAATACACTACTCACTCCTACGAAAGTAAAGGAAGCAATAACAATGATGTTTTAGACTTTTTAGATTTTTTTAGTGCTATTGATGGGGATTTCATTTTATTTATTTCAATTTGACATAAAGTTTGTATCGACCCACGCACCAACATTACTACGCACATGGTTCAATATCAATACACTTCCCATTTATTTATTTCGATTTGACATAAAGTTTGCATCGAGTCACATACCAACTTTACCATGCACGCAGTTCCATAGCAATACACTAATCTTTTAATTATTTTGATTTGACATAAAATTTGTATCGAGCTACGCACCAGCATTACTACGCATTGTTAAATATATCAACTATTTAATATATTTAATATTATATATTATAATTATGGTTGTTACCTATTATAGATAGAGTTAATATTATATAATATTACCTTATATAATTAGTCATTAATGTGGAGGATTTTAGAATATATTCCTCCACCTATAAATACATACCTTGTATTCCTCTTATATTCATTCAAAAAAAATAAAGTATTATTTGTTATTTTTACATGGTATCAGAGCCATCGTTCAATAATCCTCCACATTCAAAAATAAATACATATTTTGCATACCTTGTATTCCTCTTATATTCATTCAAAAAAAATAAAGTATTATTTGTTATTTTAACATTTCGACATGGTATTAGAGCCATCGCTCTTTCTGACTTAAAAGAGTTCTTTGCTTCCGTCGCCGCCGCCGGTAATTTCGGCGACGGCGACTCTATCCTATTCACCTCTATTTTCTTTTCCTTCTTTATCTTCAAATCAACTTCTCCATTCAAATGAAAAAAAAGGAAAAAAAACTCCTATTGAAATCACACAAAAAAAAACTATCGAATGAGGAACTTCTCTCTTGTCATCTCCATGATTCTTCAAAAAAAAATCAACTCCTCACAAACTCTCTCATATCTCAAAAAAAAGGAAAAAAATGATTGTTGTTTCTCTCCAATTCACCACATCAAAATCTCAAACCCAATTTTTTTTCCATCACCAATTCTTAACCTACTTTTTCTCTCTAAAATCACTCATTCCAATCATCAACCTCCCTTTCTCTTTCTCTTCTGTTGAATCATTAAAAATCCAAAGTAAATCAGCACAAAAGCAAAGCCAAGAGGGGAAGTAGTGAAAGAGGAAATAAGACATCTACAACTCACCCCTTCAAGAAGGAAATAGGGCATTGCCCGGATCCAAGAAAAAGACAAAAAATGTCAAGGATCTTCAGTCAAACAGGCTTTGATAGGTGCTAGGGGAAATACATATTTTGCATTTAATATTGGAAAATATTAAATCTTTCATGGTATCGGAGTCATCGTTCTTGGTGACCTAAATTTCTCCGCTTTTGCTTCTGGCGGGCGGCACCGCCATTAACCACCGCCCGCCGGATCACTGTTTTCCTCTGACCCAAATTCTTCACTATCTCCTGAAACTACAAAGTTTTCTAGTTTTTTTGTTGTCCGACTACTTTAAAAAAAAGAAGAGGTCTAAATCAATTCCTACTCCACCAAACTACCGGCCTCTCCTCGCACCAAGATTGCACCTGTTCACTCGAGAGTAACATGAGGCACAATTAGTGGGTAGATCTTCAGTCAACATGCATCTCCGGCATTCCTTATGTTTCTTCTCTAACCCAGTCGCGCACGACTCCAGCGCGCGTCAACCTTCTCCCTCTTTCGACGTCAGCAGCATGAGTCTGTTCGCAGCGGCTTTTCTCCTCCCCTCATCAGCGCCTTCACATCTCTTTCCTGGCAATCTTTTTTCTTCGCTTCTAGGCCGGATGCATTCAGTCTACTCTAGCCGAAGATATGCCTCTAGCTTCCGATTACAATTCCAGTTACGATTCAAGTAAAGTTGGCGTTCAATCTTCAGCGTTCAGGACGTTGGGAGCATGTTAAATATATCAATTATTCAATATATTTAATATTATATATTATAATTATGGTTGTTACCTATTATAGTTAGAATTACTATTATACTCCGTATAATATTACCTTATATAATTAGCCATTAATGTGGAGGATTATAGAATATATTCCTCCACTTATAAATACATATTTTGTATTTCTATTCTATTATTCATGAAATAAAGCTTTATTTGTTATTTTTACATGGTATCAAAGCCACCGTTCTTGGTGACCTAAATTTCTTCACTTTCGCTTCTGGCGGGCGGCACCGCCATTAACCGCCGCCCGCCGGATCACTGTTTTCCTCTGACCAAAATTCTTCCATTATACAAAAAAAATCTCTGTTATAGTCACCGGCATCTCTAGCGTCATCCTCTTCTCCTAATCGCCGCAACTCTGACCGGCGTCCCCTACTCCACCAAACTACTGGCCTCTCCTGGCGCCAAGATCGCACCTGTTCACTCGAGAATAACACGAGTCAGAAGTCGTTCTCCTCCAATCACCCTTCAATCCCTATTTTTTCGATCTCTCACAACTCATATCATTACTTCAACCAGCTTCGTGGGTAGATCTTCGGTCAACATGCATCTCCGGCAGTACCTCATTCCTTGTTTTTCTTCTCTAACCCAGTCGCGCACGACTCCAGTGCGCGTCAACTTTCTCCCTCTTTCGACGTAGCAGCATGAGTCTGTTCGCAGCGGCTTTTCTCCTCTCCTCATCAGCGCCTTCACATCTCTTTCCTGACAATCTTTCTTCTTCTCTTCTAGGCCGGATTCTTTCTTCTTCTCTTCTAGGCCGGATGCATTCAGTCTACTCTAGCCGAAGATATACCTTAGCTTCTGATTACAATTCTGGTCACAACTCAAGGGTAGTTGGCGTTCAATCTTCACCGTTCAGGACGTTGGGAGCATGTTAAATATATCAATTATTTAATATATTTAATATTATATATTATAATTATGGTTGTTACCTATTATAGATAGAGTTAATATTATATAATATTACCTTATATAATTAGTCATTAATGTGGAGGATTTTAGAATATATTCCTCCACCTATAAATACATACCTTGTATTCCTCTTATATTCATTCAAAAAAATAAAGTATTATTTGTTATTTTTACACGCATGCGGTTCCATATCAATATACTATCCATTTTTTTATTTTGATTTGACATAAAGTTTGCATCGAGCCACACACCAATAATACTACGCACGCGATTTCATATCAATACATTATCCCTTTATTTATTTTGATTTGACATAAAGTCTGCATCGAGTCACACACCAACTTTACTACGCACGCGGTTCGATAACAATACACTACCTATTTATTTATTTTGATTTGACATAAAGTTTGCATCGAGTTACGTATCAACATTACTGATGGATTAGAGATTTTACCTAATCCAATATTATTTAAACAGTACAAGTAAGCTCAATTTTATCTGGCTCAAGATATAAATCGGATAAATTATTCAAGACAGAGCCAGAGATAGGAAGACGAAGAATATAATTTTACGAGATATATAAATATTAACAAAGGCCCAAAGATATATTTAGCGGGACCCAGATATTATCCCTTGTCTCCCACTACCTCATTCCTTCCTCCTATTATAAGAAGAAGCTACGGAGAGGAGAAGGGAGGGTCAATTCCTACAAGCTCCTATTACTTTTCTTCCTTCTTCTTCTTTAAGGTTGGATCTCCATTAATGGCTCCAAGCTCCTACAATTATGTATATGTAAATTCTCTCGAGATTAATAAAAGTTCAAAAGGCCCGTGGCTTTCTCCTAATTTGGGTTTTCACGTATAAATACTTTCTCTCCGCTTTATTTATTTATTTACCGATATCGCTATTCGGTGCGGTGCCGACCCGATACCAAGTTCGTCGGGTCGACGCTCCGAAAAGGTAGTTTCCATTAATTACTATGCACGCGGTTCCATATCAATACACTATCCATTTATTTATTTTGATTTGACATAAAATTGCATTGAGTCATGCACTAACTATACTACGCACATAGTTCCATAGCAATACAATACTCATTTATTTATTTTGATTTGACATAAAATTTGAATCGAGTCACGCACCAGCAGTACTACGTATGCGGTTCCATATCAATACACTACTCATTTATTTAGTTTGATTTGACATAAAGTTTGTATCGAGTCACGCACCAACTTTACAACGCACGCGGTTCGTTATCAATACATTATCCATCAATTAGGCCCAATTTAGCAGGCTCAAACCCAATCGGATAGTCCATTAATTTAGACGAGAACACTATTCAAAAAATCATCTTAGCTTTGTATATAGTTAGATTAGATTACACAACTTGTCCTTTCACTCATCCACATCTCTTATATCAAAAGGATTACAAAAATATAATTTATTATATGACCCACATGAATTTTTTATTATTAAACAATTATCCTATACAACCATTTTAATTAAAAAATTGACAAAAAATAGAAATATGCTTTATTAATGAAATGAATTTTTTAATTAAATTTATTTTAATAAATGAATTTGTCTGGAAATTATACTTCAGGGAATATTTTTATGTTAATTAGGATAACTATTCTTTTTCAGTTTTTTAATATTTTCTTTTCAACTTGTCTGAAATATGCACTACCTCTCCGTTTTTGTCTGAAAAAATCGTGCCGGAGGAGTCCTCCAACTTGTCCGTCTAATGAGAGCAGTCCTCTTCTACTCTTCCCTTCTAGTCCGGCCGATGTGGATGGCCTAAGCCCAATATTGGGTCCTACATTTATTCCCCCAACATCAGTCCTTAGAGCACTGGGTATACTCCTCACGCCCACCGGCGTTACGGGGCGTTTAACGCCTCGGGGGTGTTAAACACCGCCCCCGCCGGCGTTAACAGGGCGTGAGGAGCCCTGCGTTAAACGAATGACGCTGTGTCATTCGTCTCCTCCTCCCCCCTAACGGCTATTATAGCCGTTGGCCCTCCCAAAAACAAAAAATTCTTATAAATTCAAACCCTCTCTCCCAATCTCTCACACCTTCTCCATCTTCAATCTCTTCTTCTTTCCAATTTTTAAAATTCGAAATCACCCCCTCTTTTTTCAACATGAATCCTTCCCGCTCCGGCTTTTTTTCCGACGATCTCCCGCCGAGCGACGCCGCGATGTGGTTTTACCAAGAGTGGGGCGATCGAGCGCCAATCTACGAGACGCAACAATCAGCTTTTTGTCGCTTTTTTTTATTTAATGAAAAAAAAGTTTGAAGCCCCAATTTGAAGCCCCGGGGCTTCAAACATATTTCCAGTGCCCTTAGTATCATAATATGGCATCGAATCATTTGAAGGTAAAAAATTGTGAGCATTTTCTCTCACTTCTTAACTACCTCTAAATTTAGGTCCCAAAAAGTTACTCTATACATTATTAACAATGTGACTAAATCCGCCAATTCAAACATTTTCTTTTGATAGAGTGGGTGACATCGATCCAATGATCATTGCAAGAGAAGGAACACAAAAATAAAAGGTTAACTAAATAGATTTAGAGCAAAAAGATGATGACATGTTTTAATTATGTTGATCTGTACTTCTAAGGGCTACAAATTACAGGTGTGGGTTTGAAGGTAACTCAAGTGATGTTGAACAAACTACAATGAAGATATAAACCAAACTGCTGCTGTCTATAGGGGGGTAGTTTAGACATTTAAATTTCGCCTATGGTTCCGCCTTTTCTTAATCTTGCGCTTCTGGCTCAGCCCACCTTCTTTATATGGATCCACCCAGTTCTTGTCCTCGTTCACGGCTTCTTCCCAACGCTCTTTGAATCTTTGCAGCTCATATGTGGATTGTCGCCGTATCTGAACAAGCCAAATTTGATTATATCATCAATTTACATAATCCCGTTCGGTAAAGGTTTTTTTTGGTCGAATCGACTGATATTACTGAAAGGAAAACGTTTGGTAACTTCAATTCTAGCCTAATAAGTCAATGGCTAGGTTCTGTGGCTAGTGCCCACGGAAGACACTGTCCCAATTGGGACACTTACGGTGCTCCGTTGGTAAAATTGATAGTTCTAACCCCCTACTTTCTCCATCCCCTCCTGGCCCCAACCTCCCCCACCCACATCAATTGCACCAAGAAAGTTTAGTTGACTTTAGGGTAAAAAAACTACAATGAAGATATGGGTTGGGGTCGGGACTGTGGGGGGTTTACCGGGAGTAAGTGGGGGTAGGAATTATCAATTTTGCAAACGGAGGACCGTAGGTGTCCAGTGTCCTCCGTGGCCACTCAAAGAAAGTGACCATAGAACTGGCCTGATCAGTCAAAAGCTACTCTTATGATAAAAACATTCACTGTTAAGAAAATAGAAAAGTAAATGGTGAAGAAAATGGAGTTGAATTGTCTAACCTCAGATCTAACATCAACAACATGCCTCTGCAAACCAAGAAAAAAACAATGGCTAAGAAATGAATGCCCAACATTATTGACCAAATTTAGGCTCCGTTTGATTGGCAGTTAAGCTTTTTCGAATTATACTGTGTTTGGAAAATGACTTCCTTCTTTCCGAAAAGAAAAGACTTAAATCATTTTCCAGAACCAGGTAATGTCTTTTTTTCTCTGGGGCATAAGATTATACATGCATCCACCTAGTTTACTAAAACAATATTTTACACGCCAATTTAATTTCAGCAAGTCAGCAACCAAATGGAGCTTAAATGTGAAAATATATAGTATGAGGTGCCAAACACAAATAAAAACCCATACTCTCAGCAACTCTTGAGGATTTGAGTCCTGAAAGTATTTATAAAGAAAGAGAAGCATTATAAACAATGACATATCAGCAAATTTGCAGTTATAAACTCTACATGTTAGGAGCAATATAGATTCTCTGATCTCTAGAAGCAAAATTAAATTTAAAAAAACATATGAATTAATGACGGTGATAGTAGAAACTATTTAGATAACTACTCACAACACCAGATGAGCAGAACACATATAGCAAGATTAGGAAAATTGTTTCCTTCTCCTTTTCTAATATATAACATCTATTTCTTTTGTTGAGAGAGAATAAAAAGGTTATGCAAAATAATTACTCCGTACCTTTTTCAGTGATTGCCCACCCAGCGTTTGGATGCTTTGGTGAACTACATATTCACTGTCGACTACGCCAACTTTTTTCGACCGGTCTCCCTGCAGAAGTGTGCACCAAAATAGGGTAATGAATAAAACCTAGAACCAGCCCCCACTCCACCAAAAGAAGTTATATTTGTCAAATCTACTGATAGTTTCCTAAGCCATATTTAGTGCGCACACACACACACACACTCACTCAAGAGTCAGATGAGCAATATTACAATAGGGTAATGAATAAAACCTAGAACCAGCCCCCACTCCACCAAAAGAAGTTATATTTGTCAAATCTACTGATAGTTTCCTAAGCCATATTTAGTGCGCACACACACACACACACTCACTCAAGAGTCAGATGAGCAATATTACAATACCTGTGCACAATAGCCAAGTTTCATGTCCATTCCCCATCCATGAACAAGATCATTCTGATAGAAAAAAAACAATCATCAAATGGTCCATAGTCTAGCTTTATTTTGTGAGAGGAATTGAAAAAAACAATGTTCTTTAGATGAGAAGCCTATTCTTTCTCACCTGTATAAGATGCCAAGCACAATGCCATGCAGATCTTGAGAACACGGGAGCCATTCCTTCCACAAATCTGCAAACATAATGTGGTAAACACAATGAAATTATGATAAAGGACACTGAGAAAATCTTTCGATGAATCCAGCACATATTGTAAGTAACATAGTAATAGTGCTCAAAAGATAAGGCAGTTAAAGCAAGAAACACAATCTTACCCACTGCAAGGAGGGCCTTCACTTTCTTCTGAACATCTTGTACTACCTCTATCCTCGTAAACTCTTCTGCTTAAACCAGTGTGACAGCATTGAATGGATGATCAAAAAGTGGTTAAAGTTCTCACCGTCAAGCTCATTACCTGTGAAATTTGCGGGTCCTGCTTCTTATTGTAATTCGGTGGTGTATCCCAGTTGAATTGGGGTCCAGAGCTGGCTGAGATATCTCCAGTCCGCCTGCCTTTACAATCTCAAGATATCTGCAATAGAAGAAAGCTCAGCTGATTATTTCCAAAGAAAAAAAGTAGGAAAAAGATGTATGACATTTGTTAATCATGACAATGGAATTTGTTAATCATGACAATGGAAAAGGGTTTCAACCTAAAATTTACAATAATAAAAAAACACACAAAGGGGAAACTTCTAGAAAGACACTCATCCAGTGAATGAAATAAATAAATCAATAACCAATAACAAAGCAATCAGCTAACATAATGTTGATACCTTCCAGGGTGGAAGTTCTCTACACCCAAATCTTCATCCCATAGGAATATGAAATCGTAAATAGATACAACAGCAGGATGTAAAAAACGCTTCGCAAACCACCTAAAAAGAACATTCGTCACAACCAATAACTCCTCAAGATATCAGAGAGAATAGTCCAGCTTCCATTGGCCACTCATAAAATTTTGGATAGAGAAAAATAACAGGGAGACCAAATCAACAAAAATCTACACAGCAAGTTTTAAACATTCAATTGGTATCCATCTTTTACAGGACATGTCTTCTCTCGGTGTTCATATTTTGTAATGACAAAATACTCTGAACCGGACTGTTTAAAACATCTAGATTGCTGAAAATCCAAACTGTGTGTCTCGAAAAAAAATATGGTCTTCTTACCATTTTGTTTGATTCTGAGCAACTATATGAATAGCCTCCTTACTCCAGTCAAGGTCCCACCACCCATCCAAATTGCCATCATAATGGAACAATATAATTGTGAAATTCTCTGACAGAAACTAAATCACAAGGAGCAAATAAAACATAGGTCTGGTAAAGGATGTATTCATGATAAATTTCACAGCCCCTTCACAATAACTCCAAAAATAGAGACAAATACATACCTTTTGAACAACTTCATCAACATTATCTTTTTGTTTAATACCAACGGGCATTGCCAACAAGTTATGAGAACCAGATGCATTTTCCTGGAAATGGAAAAATAAACATATACTTGAACTGAGCATAACTCACACATGGCATTGTTTTTAATCAAAGTAAAATCACTTGAGAGAGCAGGAAATCTAAGAAAAAGGAAAGGAGATATATAAATGCTATAATCAATATTTAAAGAAAAAGAGTTTTTTTAGTTTATTTTTATCATATAAAGTCTGTCAACAGGACAGTACCTTGGACTTTGAGCTACTTGTTGACCAGAGAGGCTTCAACTCAAGATCAGATCTAGCTTCTACGATACCACGAGGCAAACTACTTAACCCTGTGTCATCCCCACTATACACCTAGTTCATCATGGCATGCAAAGTATCTCAAATACTGATGGGCGTGATGATGGTTAAGAAAATAATAATAATAATAATAATAATAATAATAATAATAATAATAATAATAATAATAATACCTTTGAAATGTAGAAGGGGCCAAATTTTGATTCCATCTGATAAGGGAAATAAGAAAAAGACATCATTAGAGGCCATAAGCAAGGTTTATAACAAAAAATTCTAATTACAAGGCAAAGTTATATATTCCAATAATTTTGTAATTGGATGACATGAAAAGTGAACCAGCATTCATACTATCTATATACTCCCTCCGTCTTAGAAAATATCTGACAGTTTGGCTGTGCGAAAATGAAAAAAAGTGTTGAAAAGATGAGAAAAAGTAAAAAGTGTGTGGTTGAAATTTATTGAAAGAGAGAATGAATGATAGCCAAAGATATTTTTTTCTAAAAAGGAAAGTGGAGAAGTGTAAAGTTGATTCTTAGACATTCAAGGAAACTGAAAAGTTATTTCAAAGACAGGAATGTCTATATATATATATATATATATATATATATATACACGTATATATACACACACATACATACATACATACATACATATATACGTACACACACACACACACACACACACATATATATAGATTTGTGTTTGTATAGGCACGCACACACATACAAACATACATAAAGCAGAACTTTTCCATCCATTACCCTTTCTAAATGCCCAGAAGAAAACAAGAGGCAAGGTTCCAGAATGTTATAAGCAAAACCCTTTCAGATTTTTAATGAAAAAATGATTTAGGATCAAGCAAACAAATGAAAGTTTCTACGGCCTTATTTTGGACGGCCTTTTATTTTTCGGCACATAAATCCACAAAACACGGAGTATAAGACAAGCAAGCTAGTGAAAGAAGTACCTCTGTGCGTTGATATTGAAAACTAGTGGTCCTATATCCAATAAACAGCATTATTGTGCAGACAATCACCATAAAGGGCAGCTGTTTCTTCTTGAATCCACATGTCCCCTGCAAGTTTCACACGATATAAATCCTAGTGTCTCTGTAAGTTGAAAGTATGAACTGGAAATTTTCAGCAATTTAATAGGTCGTATGAAACCCAAAATAACCATATATACAAACCAACATACCCCTTCAAACGAGTCACTTCTTTTCTTCATTAGTGACTTCCATGGTTTTATGTCCTTCATATGTATAAATGATATCCACCGGAATACATCACCAACTGTGAGATTTAAAATAATAACTATCAAACATCATTTTGATTATGCAAAAAAGACTAAAAGTAGAATCGGCAAAAACAACCAAGCCTTAAACCCCATATTCTTTTAATCAAAATATAGTGATATAGTAATAATGACCTCAGGGAATATAGCTACTTCCTAGATCGCATATATATTGAATCAAATGAGAAACAAAAACTCGATGGAACTGCGTGTGCAGACAAATGATAGTATACAATGAACCTAGGAAAATATTGTAATGTACTTGGACTTTTTTCTAAGAAGACCCCCCCCCCCCACAACCCATTTGTTTTGTATTGAGGAACGAAATTTAGGTTGGTCTTGAGCCCAGGGCCTCTTGGAAACGACCTCTCTACTTTCCAGATAGAGATAACACACTCCGTGGGATTTGACTTGGAGTGTTGTTTTTGAACTATATTAGGCTTGTCATATTCAACGGAAAGGATGGTACCACCAAGTGCGCTGTGCGCCAACAAAGTTAACCACAACATAACATTCAATATCAAACTTTTGGGAACTTCTCAACATGTTGTATAAATGTCTTCAAGTTTGCACAAAAAATATACTTGGTGCCGCGTTTCCAATAAGTCAATAGCTACATACCTATGGATTGCATTAGCAAGACACAGTTGTTTCCATGGTAAAGAAGATATATGCTTTACACAATGGCATATGATTCACATTTCACAAAGATTACACTGACAATTGTCACATTCGGGTCCCTACTAATTAGTTTGCACTATGTTTATTGCAAGTGTGCAATTAAGTACTTTTTTTTAAATAAAAAAAGTTCAACATAGATGAACATGAGAACAACAAATAAAAAATTTTGGTGGCGTGCAACAAATTTGCTTTTGAAGTAAATGCCTGTGAAAAAAGAGAACAATATAATTAAATGGCGGCTTGTGCTGAAAATGCAGCTGAGGCAATTGCTTCCAAGTTAAATGCATGTGAAGAAACATCAAAGGTAATAGGCAAATTAAAGCAGAATCACTAGATTTTATCCCCAATAAAGATAATGCACACTTAAAGCGGGGAAATGGATGATGATAATTGAGCTTCTATTAGATTAAAAACAGAAGTTAAAGAGAAAACAAATGATGAACATGTCAAATTGCGTGCTATAGATACGAATTACACTAATAACAGAATCCAATAATTATAGAACGAATAACCATAACAAAGATGATCTCCCGCATTCAGCTTAAACTAGGAAAACTAACGAATCCACCATTCCTTAATCTGGTTTCATAACAGAACAGTCCAAAACCAACCGGAAAATCGTCATGAATACCTCGACTTGAACCGAATCAACGGAGCAGGATGCAGAATCGAGACGACGAAGAAGCTCTGGAGCTCCGATTCTCCCTGGCCGGAGAGCCGCGTATTCTACAAGCCCGGGGGGCGCCACCAGCAAATACAGGTCAGAGAGAGAGAGATGCGGGTTGGGAGTTGTGAGGTTGGGTGGGTGGGTGAAAAAAAAGATGAAAGAGTCACAGACGGAAGTGTCGGAAGCGCCACGTTTCAAGGGGGAATGGCCGCGGGCGGGGCCGGGAGGGGATTCGCGGCGGCGGCGAGAGCGTCTCTGTCACGGCACAAATGGCCTAAAATTTAGAGACGATGCATTTGTTTATTCTTTCTCTGACAGCGACGCAAAACTGCATATTTTCATCCGATTCCCAGTTAAAATTCCATCTTGGCCTCTTTTCTTAGCTTAACATTTGGAAACACTTTAGAAAAAAGAGGCAAATTTTGAAGTATGCATCAAGCGCTTGATATGTGATTTCCTAAGTATTAATGGAGGAGTTCTTTTGGGATTGATCACTAATATTAATGAAACAACTACAACAAAAGAATTACCTCTTTATCTTACTTCCTCTGTTTTAAAATGTTCTACTCAGTTACTATTTACACAAGCAAATTTTAATTACTTTGTTTACCTATTTTTGTTAGTATTTTGATAAAATAATATAATATTGTCACTTCTTGTTTTGTAGAATTACACGGTCAAATTTTAATCACTTTCTTTACCTTGTTTTAATTTTATACTTGGAAAATAAAGTCAGTCAAACCTTGTAAACAAAAATGGTGAGAATGTTTTAGGACAAAAGGAGTAATACTTTCCTCACAATTGCTTTTCACGTGATCAAATTTTATTCAGTTTATTTGTGTATTTTACTTTGGTATTTTTAAAAATAATATAATCATGTCACCACTTATTTAATACTCTCCTTGTTGGTCCTTTTCCCAAATCTATCCATTTAGGTTATGTTCTTTTCACCTGATCTGAATAATTTTGATCTGATCTGAATGCAGTTATATTTAAAAATATTTCTGATTTGTCCTGATCTGATTCTAATATGAAAAAATAATAAGTAACAAAAATAAGTTGAAGAGAACATCACTTAAGTACACATTCATCATTTTGTCCATCCTTCACTTGCGGGCAAAATGGATGAAACCGGTGAAAGTGGGTGATATTAATTATAATTTTCAAATAATTGATTTTATGAAACATAGGAAACAAAAAAAACTATAAAGCATAAAACACCTAAATAGCCTAGCTAGGAAGAGAAGAGAAGAGTTTAACTACAATCTTGATGTTTATAATGGAATCTCATTAAGAAACAAACTTTTAAGGTAAAAAACTAGGGTAAAAACCTAGCAATAAAAAAGTTCATATACATAATTGGGAGCCTTTCAAACATTAAATCTTAAATCATAAAATGGAATATAAACTTCATTGAAATGGATCTAACTCAGCTACGATTTCAAACAAACTTTCTAACAAGCTATGATTCGTAATTTAAATATTCCTTCGGTTCGGATTTAGTCTTCACATTTTACTTTTTACGTTCTTCAATGCAACACTTTGAACATTAAATATTTATATACATAAATATATTTTATAAAAAGTTAGCATTTCAAAACTATATTTCAAAAGGAAACTATTTATGTTAAACTTATATCAAAACACAACAATCGAGATCAAAGTTTATAAATTTTGACCAAAAGGTCAAATGGAAAGGTTCCATCTGGACAGAAGGAGTATAAATTGTTAAATAGTTATGCATGGATGAGGTGGCGGGTGAGAAAAATCTTCATCTGCATCTGACACAATCCATCATCAAATTGTAAATCATCTGACCATTATCCTTTACTTTTCGAATTTAATCCATTAAATCGGATCAGATGGATTAATTATCCGATGAGTCAGGTAGAAATTGACATCCCTATATCGCACAAGTGCCCAATTATGTGTATCAGTTTGAAACAGATATTATCCAAATCTGATTGTTAATCTCAGAAGTATAAATGGAGGTGAATATAAGATATTTGATTCATTTAAAATATGTTCCGAATACAACTAGAGTATTTGTTCAATTTTGAATTTTTGCAGTGAAAATTGACTACTAATTGAATAAACTTAGTATTAGATGTTGATACAAAATTAATTTTATTAGATTAGTTTTATACAATATTTTCAAAATATTGTTTTATATAATTAATTTACCATATAATTTTCAATTTATTTCGGGATCAAAGGTCGAAATTAGTTGACTGTGAAAATAAATAAATAATCAAAGACGCAATTATTTTCATAATTTAATTGCATCTACTAAATTATATGCTATAACTAAAAAAATCTAAAAGTAATACATAAAAACTATAGAGACATTCTAAATTTGTGTTGTATGTGTGTACCCCGAATATATATATATATATGCACATATATAATTCATGCTTTATTCGAATATACTATGACCATATTCTTTTGGGTTGAAAAATTTAACTTCCAACTCATTTCAACTGCTTCATGTTCCGTCAAACTCCTAACTCCTTCCAGGTTCTTCCAACGACTTAAAAAAGATATTTATGTATGATGATATACAATAATTTTATGTATCCAAATTTATAAAATACCACCTCAAGCACGAACAAGAATGGATTCATTTTTTATCCAAAATTAGAGTTTTTCTTACATATTTATTTGGCTGATCATTTAATTGGGTGATTTTTCAACACTTTAATACGTCCAACATTTTCTAACTTCTTCCAGTTTCTTCCAACTCTTTTCAGTTTCTTTCAACATCCAACTCTGAAATTCTTACTTAAAAGAACAGGGCCGTACATCTTTATATACGGAACAAAAAATATAGATGTTGAAACTTATAAATAGGCCACTATAGAAAGGATATTGCTATTGATATTGGCTAGCTTTGTCTCTTGAATATGTACGCTATACATTTCGGTATAATTGAAAGACTTAAAATTAAATGAAGATATGATCATAACATACGAGAGGATTTGGAAAATCCCACCGTGGAACTAAGGTCCACAATGCACCCTGAGTAGTCTCGACGGACACATAGTCTAAAATAAATCTTTTCGAGATTCAACTGCATTGTTATTGTTATATTCTAAACTGAATTTATTCTTACGTTATACTCCGGAGTATACATAGAGCAAATAAAACATGTTCAGATAGAGAGTGTTTTCGTTGTAATTTCAACTTTTCAACCCGAGTTTTACCTACTCCTTTCGTGTCGATGTGTTTGTGCATTTGATTTTTGACACATGAACCAAATGAAATTAAGATAAAAGAGGAAGATGATCAAAATGTACTCTAATCTCGTGTGGGGTTATTACTTATTAGCTACACCACGTTTGTTTGGTTAGGTTTACTAATCCAGTAATTACATTGGCCTGAATTAGCTTTACCTCAAACTCTGCCAGGGTAAATTTTCCTTTTCTTCACCACAGGCTTATTATTATTAGGTCCTACTACAGCTACAAGCTCATCTTTTGACACAGTTTTATGCCGTAGAGACGAATCTTCCTTACCAAAGTGACCCCAGACAGGATTCTTCACCGACACGCGCTTCGCCTTCCCAGGCTGTTTGACGAAACACCCTCTCTTTCCCGCCACGTCATCACTGAGGAGACGAACAGCGTCCGTGTTGGCTGGGATCCTGTGCTTGCTGGTGCGGGGCCTGGCGCTGCGCGGCTTCACAGGACGACGGCACGGTGTTGTTGTTGGCAGAACAGGAGGGGAGATTCTGGTCTGGGCCCACATGTCCTGCTGATGACGACGACAGGCTTTCGTGATGTCATCCCTGAGAGAGAGAGCAGCTTTGTGTTCCCGGGTTCGCTTCGAGTAGAAGATCACCGCGTTGTTTGCTAGTAAAAGGAGATCTCTGAAGAGTTCTTCGGGCAATCTGATGGAAAGGGTGAGGATTCTTGATCTAATGGTTTCCATATCCAAGTGACGTCTGATTGTTCTCTTGTATCTTGCCCTCTTCTGGTATGTCCATTCATGTATGGAATAATGATATATATGATGAGTTCACAAAAAGCACAGATAAACAAATAAATAAATAAACATTTTGCACACACAACGATTAGAACATTTCCCCTTTTTATTCAAGACTCCATTTTTCTACTTGGTGCACGATTAAGACATTCCCCGTTTTGATTCAAGACTCCATTTTTCTACTTGGTGCACGATTAAGACATTCCCCGTTTTGATTCAAGACTCCATTTTTCTACTTGGTGCACAACTATGCTTTTTATTATTGTCATTCTTGGTCCTTGTGGTGATCGTGTGTACTTACCCGGCCAAGTTTTGGACGATTTCTGCTTTTCAAGTGACCAACCGGAAGGGACCAAGAGTGGTAAGAAATGTATAGCCGTGCACCAAATGTGGAAGCATGAAAGTCAAAGATGAGATCAAGAGTGGATAATTTTGTGAGACAGAACTTAAGAAATTACCATAAATAGGACAAAAACATAGAGAAAGTACCAAAATAAGAGTTCCATGTTTTTATTCCTTATATAGGAGTTCGCACTCTGGTAATGTAGCACTCTGTACATGTAGATTTTACGTAATGTACAATGTTATGATTGGTAATGTAAATGCATTTCAATTCTTATTTTGAGAATAAAAACATGGAACTCCTATTTTGGTATATTGCAATGCTTTACTCCTACTTTAGTCTTTTTCCCATAAAATTTTGGGCGCTCGACATTACTTTTTTATTAATACAAAAAGAGCAATGGCAGGTCGTAATAATACCTGACTATCAAGACGATGTCTAAAGACCAAAGCGGGTTCTCTCTGTGCAATGGAATTGAAGATATCCATCAACCCGGCATTCTTCGTGCAACCAGAAACTCCTCTTCTTGTCTCATCGTCATCACAGCCATCCGATGCTTCCTTGCTGTGAGAAAATGAGACAGCACTTGCCGAGCACAAGTTCCCACTCTCCCCAATGCTCCCTTCTTTTGAATCCCATAAAATGTCCTTTCTTTTCCTCTGAGCTCTTCTCTTCCTCACCGTTGTCCCCCCTCCATCCTTATTTGTCTCTGCATCTATGGCAGATGTTAGACCCTGAACTTGGCATCCGGGGGACTCGTTCAGGTTGAAATTTCGGGTGAAGCTTCCAGCAGATGATTCAATGCCCTCTAACTTTACCACGGGAACTGGTAAGGAACGTTCTCGCTCAGCCTTTAGAAATTCTATCTTCGACTTCAGAGATCTGATATTGGATATGAGAAACAGGAAAAATACAAATTAAGGTAATCAAAA